TTGATAGATGTGTTCAACTCTGCTGATGAACATTTGAAATTCACGCATGAACGAGAGGTAGACCAGAAACTCTATTTCTTGGATGTTGAAGTGGTGAGAAAAGACGGCAAACTATTAACCAATTGGTATCAAAAACCAACGTTTTCGGGCTGGGTTCTAAACTATAATTCCTTCTATCCAACTCACCAAAAAGCAGCAATGGTCTACAATCTCGTTGATAAAGCATTTAAATTGTCTGAAAAGCCTTAAATAAAACAAACATTCAAAAAGTCAGAGATATTTTGTCAGCTAACAGTTACCCAAAGAAATTTGTCAACAAACATATCGGTAGAAGAATTAAATTCCTTAGTGATAACTTGAACAATGCTAGTGTTCCACATATCAACTCAACTATCAAAATTGATTTTAATGTTGTAAACTCGTTACACAACAAACTAAACAACGTTATAGACAAAACGGTCAGAGAACACCAGACACATTTATCAAATTGATTGTGCAGATACTAATTGCAATAGTGTATATATATAGGTCAAAATTATAGAAGATTAAAAACTAGAATCAAAGAACATAAAACAAACATTTCACAAAAACCGGAACGTCATGCAATAGTCACTGAACACAGAATAAACAATAATCACGATTTCAAATGGGACGTTAAAATTTTAGAAAAAGAACATAACGAGAAAAAAAGATTAATTTCAGAAATGATACATATTAAGAAAAACAAAAATTGTATTAATTCGCGGACACTGATAATTTGAATAATGTGTATGTACCATTGCTTGCGAGAGAAAACCAGCGCTTTACAAACCTTGCCTCTTGACGTGTCGATAGTTTGACTGTAAACACTACCAAAAACTGATTGTGATAAATTTATTTATTGTTACTATTTATTAAAAAAAACAAAGTTTGTTAATATGAAAACCTTTGTTAAAACCAATTGTGATACTAGTCGGCATTAGATGTAAGCAATGATAGAAATTCGAGGTATAATATTTTGTTTTACTACTTTTGTCAAAATGTTGTGATTGAAAAATGGAAACTTACTATTGTAATTTTAAATTTTGTAGCTTGAAAATGACTGAAATAGACAGTCGAAACGTCGCTTTTACAATAAAGAAAGTTCAAATACAGAACACATCGTTGGTTAATTGGCGAGATTAGAGTCATTTTTCACAATTTGAATTTTGAATACCAACGAAATTAGATTCAATTAATAATACAATAAGTGTTTGTTTGGTTTTTTATATAAGTAAATGTATTCGCATTAGTAGCGTTTAATTTCTTCCACTAAATGGCGTATTTGCGTGATGTCGTAGAGTAAATAGTACATCATCTGGCACCGTATCCGTTTTCGACAATTTAAAAAGCCGTAAACATGTTTGCTTAGAGTTATTTTTCTTATCAAATACGTTTGTTATACAGATGCGAAATTATTTATAATCTTTTTATAGCTTTTTTTCAGTCTTTGAAGTCACAATGGTGACAATGTTCAAGTACGCTATAATGTATTGCTGTCATAAAGTAGTAGACCAGCGGAATCAGTCAAAATGCATAACATACTAACATATTAACAATTGGAGGAATGAAAAATTCGGTAGATGTATTTGTTAGAAATATGCCACTGAATCTTATCCCATTTTTAAAATTCGTAAAAAAGTACTTTTTTGAACGTAGTTTTATGATTTTTATTCATCACCGTCATAAGACTTTCAGTCCACTCTTTTCTATCCTGAGCTAATCTTTGCATTTCTCTAAAACTAGAACATCCCACATCCTTAACTATTCGTGAACAGTAATCTAATCTAGGTTTACCTAAACTCCTTCTTAACTCCTGTTTCCAATAAGTCTCTAATTCTAACTTATTGTTCCTGCCTGTGAAGGTGTCTTATCTCGCCTATTTCTTATTGACTTCCGTAGAGTCCTCTATTCTCCTACTCTTTCTAACACCTCTTCATTTCTTTGTCGTCGCGCTCACCGTCCATGTTTTGTACCCGTACAGCGTTATCCTCCAGACATATACCTCTAACAATCCTTTTCGAATTTATAAATTAACCGTTCGCGATGACAAAAGTGAATTCTTTTTGTTGAAGGCAACTCGACCCTGCCCTGCCCTATCCTCTGCTTTATATCTCTACACTCCTTCCGTCCTGACTTATGTGACTTCCTAGATATCTAAAATTAGCCACTTCTTCTAATTTTTCGTCTCCTATCTTTATATTCGCTCTTTCCCTACTTTTTCTTCCCTTGCATACCAGTATTTTAGTTTTACTTTTATTTATTTTCATGCAATACTGTTTTGTCAATACCGCTTCCATTTTATTTAAAGCTATCTCTAACTCCTCCTTGCTAGATGCTAATATTGCTGTACCATCTGCAAATCTAGGCATACTAATCTTTTGCCCCTGTATATCTATCCCTACAGTCGTCCTGTCTTTAGTGGTATTGATCGCATCATGAAGACATAAAAATTTTACTGCATGTAGATGATAAAAACTTCAGATGTATTGCGTACAAATTCGGTTCGTAACTTGTTTAAATAATCGCTAAAATCGGTCGAAATGATCTAAAATTTTCACGTCGAGAAAAACGGTTGAAACTCTCAGATCGCGTAACTTTTATTACCTGAAAATTGCCTTAAAATTTTCATAAAAGAATGTCGTTTAGTTAACGAGAAATTTTTTATTAAAAGCAATCGAAATTTGATAGCAAAACGAGGCAGTTCTTGTTGATAAAAATGGTTGAATCAGTTGAACCATTTTTTTTGTTGAACCATTTGTTTCAAAGATACTTTGAATGAAATTGAAAAAGACTTTGTTAAGTGTACTGGATTTTTAACTATGGCTTATTGTAAAGAGCTTTATAATAAATTATTAGTAAAAGTTTGAAACATTGATATTCGAGTAACTGGTATTTTTACACAAATTTAAAGGAAAATACATAAGTACGTTGGGCCTGGTTGATTGAGGGCAGATATAATTTTTTCTTTGTTAAATCTACCATTTATTTGTTTATTAACATTAACAGTTGAAATTTTGGCAACTACTAGTTTAAAACTTAATTTTTTTAATTTAAAAATGTGACTTAAGAGGAGCAACTTTTATAAGGAGTAACTGCCTAATAATTTGAGTTACAAAAAAATTTGTAGACTTAGAAGGTTGACTGGAAAAAAAACTTGGCTGCTTCATTCCTACCAGCCAGTAATGCTGGTGGGCAGACAGTCCCTCTGGACTACGCCGGAAGTAGGGCGGAAGACTTACTTCAGTCTCCTTTCAGGAATCATAGGAATGGGTGGGTGGTGGATCGGGTAAGAAAGGTGAGACGGACGAAATGAAGACAGCAGAGAATGAAAGATTATCTGCGTATAACGTAATCTAGAGGAGCGGGGATAAAAAAGGATAAATACTGGAAAAAATTGTTGAAAGGATTATTATATTATATAACAACCTGAATTACACAAAAATCGTTCAGTTGCGCGATGCAAAAATGTTATTCAGCCGATCTTGTGACATTGTCGACCTTAAATAAATGAATTCTGGTATAAGGCCCCTACTCCATTCGTACCGTTGTAAGAAATCCACAACTTCTCTTCAGTTATTTACTTACCCATTTTGTCTTTTTAAAAGATGCCGAAACATGTAGTTTAAATATAGCTTTATAGTCTTTAAGATCCTGAACATTACTCAACTGGTTTCTTAAACGTAATTTCTTTGTTTATTATTATATCACTTTAAACACTTTTTATTACTTCTCACTTAAAGTTTTATGAGCATAATAATATCATCTTGGCTTGCTAATTTCCAAGATGTTTCGTTAGTAATAAAAGTGGCAAAACAAAATTAATAGGCGACATATTATGCTTGCAATGATTTATTAAAATAAAAGAATTAACAACGTCATTCACAGGTTTGTCTTTGTATGTACAGTAATTGTTTTCCTTTAGTCGTCGGCCGGTTTTTTTCTTTTTATTACGCTGATGATTTTTCTTCACTAACGCTTGTGACTCCGGACGCTGTCGAAGTGGCGTCGTCAGCGGGTCCTGCGCAAGACAAGGATGGGAATTTCTTGTGTAATGCCTGCTTGTATTTAGGGTGGCTGAAATTTAAAAAATAATATTAAATCAAAGATAAGTCAACAACTATAATCGAGGAATTATTGCCTTTTTATGTATAGAGTTTTCGTTATCTTCATACCTAATCAATTAGTTTTCTTTTTTAAGTTATTGTATTTCTTTTGGAAAACAAATATCTTGCAGAAGATTTTATTTGTCTCTATTGCCTAATGCATACCTGTCCTCAAAATTATTATGTTCGCCTGCAGTTCAACTGTTCGTAACTTTTTTAAATTGCAACTGTACAAAAAATCGTGACGACAAGTAACAAAAGCAAAAGTTTAAAACACAAAAGGCTTAAAAAGGAACATTTTCAAACAAACTTTTTAAACACAAATTCCAAAGTATCAGCAGTAAATATTGACAAGAGCTGAAATAAGATAAATCAATGATTCTCGTTGCTCGGGAACGCGATGCGAACAAAAACGAGAAGAAAACTATGAATGATCCAGAAAAACGTAAACTTTATAGAAGATAAAGGTAAATACAAGAAGATTAACCCATACAGTTGGAATAGCAAATACATAGAACACCACATAAAAGATAGTTGGAAGAAAACTGCCGTGAAATGGAAGAACTGAATAATAAACATGATGATGATGATGATGATACATAGAAAATTGATGAAATTAACTGGAAACAAAAAAAAAGAATGGCAGTGGTCACAAGAAACATCCGAGGACAGGTCCAGTTAATAGAAGATGATGAAAAACAGGCTTGAGAGAAACACATCAAAGAAAATAGACAATACAACAGCTAAGTATTCTTAAATAAGAAGTGGAGTACGTATGTCATAAAAAATTCGAAAAAAAGAAAAAATGGCACGATTTGACAATGTTTCAATGGAGTTTTAAGGCCTTGGATTCGTTTTACAAAATTATCAACAAAACTTATGAAATAGAGAAATTTCCAAAAGCCCCCCTCCCTCTTGTCTGATTTCGAAAGAGGCACTTGGCCCTCCTGTCCCCTTCGTTCCGGAGTCATTAGAAATAGGTATTTACTTCCTTTTTGTTTTTATTTAAGTTTATTTATTTTTTTTTCTTTTTACTAGTGTTATTTATAGATATCCGAATATCGATATTTTTCATAAACCAGGTGTTCCGTACAAGTTATTTTGTTTAATCGTTTACAGTTTAAACATCCCATAAAAAGTTTCACTTCTAACGGTGTTAATATTTAACTGACCATTATTTTTATTTATTAAGGCTTTTATATAATTAAAAAATTTCATATAATCATTACAAGCCTTCTTTTTTACTGAATTTAAGGTTGCACAATGTATTACAGTTAAAATTCACTATATTATAAGTTGTAAAATAAATAAAAAATAAAAGAAATTTGTTCTGTTTTACAAATGGGCAATTAGCATTCGGTACTCTCTAGTATATTATTTTGGTATAATTAAAGACGTGTGAACTCTTTTCACAAAAAGGAAAGCCGGTAACAACATCGATAAAATTGGGCTAATCGGAACAATTAGCACTTATTCAGATATCTTCCTGCCCTGGCGGGTCGCTCAAATTCAGCTTTCGGTCGAAACAATATGTATGTTAATAAGGTTAGAAGAACGCAAACTCCTTGAAAAATGTAATCACTTTTTTAATTTTTATAAAACGTACGCTTAAAGTCTCGATTATTCTGTCAGACTTGACATAGGAAAATTTGTCTTATTTTGTTTTTTATATTCTTATTTTTTTTTTTTTGATCTCTCAATGACTTGTTCTTGACCTCCAAGCTGCTAAACATGAACTTACTCACATATTATTAAGTTCTTCAAATTGCATGAATCGAAACAAGTTAATTGCGATACGAATTCTATAACTTCTCATTTGTACTTAAGTCACTTAGTCACTAATACTGCAGCAAGCAGCTTTAATGTAAAATATTTTTAATTCAATTTGTATGAATAAATCGAGTAAAAAAATATTATAATTGTGCACTAAAACTATTTTTTTTCGAATTAATTAATTCTTTTTATTATTGGAAAATTTTACAAAATAATAAAAATTATTAAATTATACTTTTATGTGTTTATGTGTAAAAATAAGCATAAGTAGTGAACACAGGAACCTATGGAAAATGCTTAATTAAACATTAGGAAATACTACAAATGGCGTGGTGAGCGCCATCTGTAGTACGATGCTACATTTTAGGATTACGTATGCT